GAAAACAAAAGTAAAAATAGAAAGGGGGGGGGTGTCCTTCGATCCAGGGAGAAAAATGGGCTTTTCGATCCAGAGGGGAAAGTTGTCTTTCGATTCTGTGAAGGGGCGTTACCCTTCGATCCACTGACAAGATGTAGCTTTCGATCCAGAGGGCATTGCTGGAAAGGCCTGATGGATCACCTGTGAGGACACTGAATCTGCAAAGATGTGTAAGCAAAACAAAATGCAGGACCTGGGTATCGAACCCAGGTCCTTCAATCCTGCACACGTTGGATCTATTCAAGCTATATCTGCAACAAGTGTTAGAAACAAAACAAATGCAGACCTGGGTGTCGAACCCAGGTCCTTAATCTTGAATACAGATCGAATAAGCTACAAATACTAATATGACATACAAATGTAAGTTTGATTTTTTTACCCATTCTTACCAAGGATGAGATGCTTCAACTTGAGTGTGAAATGACTGGTGTTTGGGAATACTTCCTGCAGACTTCAGGGAGTGGATGGAGCGTTGCTGTAGATTCCTTCGATTGACACCACTTATGAGGATTTTGATAGCTTTGGGGTGGTTTATGGGGCAGCGTGTCTCCAATGTGTGTGTATCTCCTCCCTCCAGTTGTGTCCATCTCTCTCTGTGCGTATGCTGGTGTCTTATTTATATAGAGAGGATGGAGGGGACAAGAGAATAAAGGTTTAAATAGCCATAAACAAGTGCTTTCAAAGCCATGAATGATGTTTTGTAACATTGCAAAAATCATGGAAACTTGTCCCTTTTGAGTTTGAATGAACCTGGACATGCTTCCCTCTTTCAAATGCCTTCAGTCGTTGCCCTTCGATTGGCCTCAAGTTGCCTCCTTCGGCTGGGTCTTTTGAATGGACCTTTGAATGCTTCTTAGAATGGATTATTTACATGTCCTTCAAATGTTTACTTCGTTTGACCCATCTATTTTCCTTAGCTGCTTGATTCCAATAGCCCAAATGAGGACTTCATTCTGGCTAATCGAAGTCTCCTTTGTCATGAATGTAATGGTACATAAGGCTTGGGTCACCAATGTGTGTTAATAATGTAGCAATCTTATGCTTGTGAAACGAAGGCATGCATGAAGAGGAATCATTTGCTTGGTGAATCAAAGGCCAGTTGAAGAGGGAGCCTTTGTCTTATGGATCAAAGGCAAGCATCTTGAACCAATACTCATCAAAAGGCAAAACAAGCTTGTTTCCCACAATTATGTATCCTTCGAATGGACCACATGTATGTCCTTCGAAGGCACCATTGATGTGTCCTTCCAATGGACCTTACTAGGTGTCAAAATGTGGAAAACCGTGTGTTGAATATTTTAGAGGTGAAGTCAAAGCTAGCATGAGGGAAGCCAACTACTTAATGAATCGAAGCACATATGAAAGAAAATCACTACTTTATGGGTGCTGGCATGAAGGGAAACCATTGCCTTGCACATTGGAGGCAATCCTAGAGGAAGTCATTTTCTTGTGGGTCGAAAGCAAATACAGAGGCAAGTTGAATGGGCCTTGGCCTTGTGGATCGAAGGCAAGTCTGAGGCAGCCTTTTATCTAGTGGATCAAAGGCAGGTCTGAAGAAGCCTTTTCCTAAACGAAGCTTGCATGCAGGAGTCCACTATTTTGTGGATCAAAATAAGCGTGCAGGAGGTCACTGTTGGTGGGTCGAAGGGAGCTTGCAGGGGATTCTTGCTTTGTGCGTTGAAGACACGCACAGAGGGAGTATTTGCCTAGTCGAAGTAGGAATCAAGCTAACTCCAAAGAAATTAAATGCCCCAAACGAAACAAGAATCGAGCTTGCTCCAAAAAAATCAAATGCCCAATCAAAGCAGGAATTAAGCTTGCTCCAAAGAAATCAAATGCCCAATTGAAGCAGGAATTAAGCTTGCATGCATGTAGCCATTGAATTGTGAATCAAGCCAGCATGCAAAGTCAATGGTGCAATCGAAGGAGCACTAACAGGAGGCCCTTCTCTTTTATATCGAATGAGGTTGTTTCAAAGGAAACACATGCCCAGTCGAAGCTTGTATATAACAAACAAGCAAAAGGCCAAGGCTTCAATCGAAGCTTGGAAATTTGAGGCAAGTTTGGAAGAGGTTAGGCGCTTAATCGAAGTCGGTAAAGATGCCAATCGAAAGACTTTGTTTATCTTCAAAAAAAATTATTTTTTCCTCTAATCAAGTGTTTGTAATCACCTATGTAAGAGAAAAATCTTGGAAAAATATGAGAGGGAAAATTTTGGGGTACAACATCAGTGATGATGGATTGTGGGGGATTTTACTTCTTGCATGGATATGGAGGCACAAGTAAGACACTTATTTGGAAAACTCTGTCATCTGCTATTAGATCCCAAGGTTTAATTGTTTTAAATGTTTCTTCGAGTGGGATTGCATCTTTACTGCTACCTGGAGGAAAAACGACTCATTCTATGTTTGGAATTCCCTTAATTACAACTAAAATGTTTGTTTGCAGCATCAAAAAACAGACTGATAGATGTGAACTTATCTTGCAATCTAAGCTTATTATATGGGATGAAGCTCCAACACTAAATAGGTTTTATGCCGAAGCTATCGATCGTTCTTTGAAGGACATAATGAGAACTGTAGGTGACTCTAACCAATATAGACCATTTAGTGGTAAGGTGGTTGTTTTTAGTGGAGATTTCAGACAAATCTTACATGCTGTTAGAAAGGGTAGGCATGACATAGTGTAAGATTAAATAAACTCTTTCGAATTATGGAAATTTTACATGGTATTGACTTTGGCAAATAGCATGCAGCTGACATCTCCTAACTCCAACATAAAATCTAAGAAGTTAAAGAATTTTCAGATTGGATGCTTGATATTGGAAATGGTAAACAAGCCTCAAATGAGTATGGAGAGAGCACACTTCATATTCCCGAAGACTTATTGGTTACAGATTCTCATAAATCCTCTATTATGTCTGGTTGAATAAACATATCCACTACTTTTACAAAACATGAACAATTTGAGATACTATGAAGAGAGAGTGTTACTACCTCTGACTCATGATTATGTGGATATTGTTAATGATTTTGTTTTGTCCTTAATTCCAGGTGATGAAAAGGAATATTTGAGTGTTAACTCAACAATTCTTTCAGATGAAAATTGTATAGTTCATGTGGATTGGTTCACACCTGAATTCTTGAATGAAATGAAATGTTCAGGAATGCCAAATCACCGATTAAGGCTGAAGATTGGAGTTCCAGTCATGCTTATAAGAAACATAGATCAATCAAATGGCCTCTGTAACGGAACAAGGTTGCTCATAAATGAATTATGTCCTGAATATTATTGGTGCCACTGTCATTACAGGAAAAAATATTGGTGAAAGATTTACATACCGAGGATGAATTTGATTCCTTTTGATCCAAGCTTTCCATTTAAGTTTCAAAGAAGATAATTTCCAATTGCATTATGTTTTGCAATAACCATAAATAAAAGCGAAGGTCGATCTCTTTCTCAGGTCGGTTTATATTTACAACATCCTATATTCACTCATGGGCAATTCTATGTGTCCATTTCAAGGGTAAAGTCTAGAAAAGGATTGAAGATTCTTATTTTAGACGATGAAGGAAATCTGTGTGCAGACACTATGAATGTTATTTATATCAAGGTTTTCGAAAATTTGTAAGCATGAGGTCAGTATGTCATTGTTCTTAACAGAGAAACTATCATGCCATGTTAATACTAATTGTTTTGTATGGTTTTTATATGATTGTTCTTAATGTTATGTTCTGATTTTGAGTTTTAAAATGTGTGTTTCTTATATTGCTAATGTCGTTTTTACTATTTCTATATGTTATGTTGACTACTCCTACTAGGTTCCATTGTTATTTAAACATGGTTCTGAAGAAAATTGAATGAAAAATTAGTGTTAACTAAGTTAGGTGTTTATACGGGTGGTTAAAGTGTTTATGCAACAATATTGTCATGATTATGTAGAATTAGATACATTACTTAATCTTTTAGAACTCGTACCAAATTGATTATTTGTTATATATTTTTGAATTGTTGAATGTTTTGCTTGATTTATTTAAATTTCAAATGATAATGGTGCTGATGATGTTGTTTTGTCGTGGATATCTTATGGAAGAAGATTGACATAATTGAGAAAAATGGATAGAGATGCAATCACATATATGATGGTTGAAGCATCGGTCTTGGATGTCTGTAAGACTTAAAGGAACTTCATTTTGTAGTGATATTTATCCTTATAGTATGTTGGCATACATCTTGTTTACTATAGAAACCTTTGTATCATTTGTATTCACGATGATCTATCAAGTCATGGATTCTCTTTTGTGCCTTTGCAATGATTTATGAAAAAACTCTTTGTGATTTTATACTTGATCTTTTTGTTGTAATACTAATAACATGCCATGCTTACGAAGAAACTTCTTTTATCAAGTTCTGATATAAACTTCGGTTATTTTATTATTTCGCTATGCTGCTAAAAATGTATTATTTCTTTTATAAATCATTAATAGTTATAAAATAATTTTTTAAACATAAACAAACGTTTCTCTTGTCTTGTACGAGTATACACACTAATTACATATCAATTAAACAACACGATCACAACATTGTGTTTTTAAAATAAAAAAATTTGTATTAGTCACTTTTTTAATACATTGATAATACATAATATAAGTTTATATAAAATAATAGAATAAATATTATTTAACAATTTTTATTCAATTTAAAAAAAAGAATTACTTTAGATAAAATTATACTAATATATCTTTCTTTCCTCTCACTTTCTTTTTTTTACTTTCATTCATAACAAATACCTAAAAAATAATTCCACTTTCTTCTAACTTTCTCACCACTTTCATTCCTTTAATATTGTTTCTTCTTATTTTCTTTCCTTTCACTTTCTTTTCTCATCCAAACAAACAAAGCGTTAGTGACGGGACAATCCGATAACCGTGAATCAATATCAAACGTTGGTGAGTGTAGGAATGCTACTTTTATCTATTACTAGTTACTACTACGCTCCGAAATTGCGCGCACACTGTCATAATAATTCTCTTATTTTTTGCTTTCTTCTTCACACTTCACAAAACCAAACTCACCTTATCGTTCTTTATTCAGATTTCAATCCAAAACAATCATGGCCCAAGGTATATTTACTTTCATCTCTACCTCTATTGTTGAATTTCAAATCTGGTTTTATGCCTCAACTCATGTTTGAAGTTTTATGTCGATTGGCTATTTGGGGTATTTTTGTTTTGCTTTTGATTTACAGGTGGAGATAATGGGTCTCCGAAATCTTTGCCATTGACACCGTATGAAGAAGCATTGGGAGCCTTGTCGTCTTTGATTACTAAACGCACTCGGGTTGGTGATGTCAACATGGAGGAGAGATTCAGCGTGCTGTTTCAGTATTTAAAGGCACGTAAAGTGTTTGTGAATTTGCTTTCAGTATATTTGGTCAGTTTATAGGAAAAATGTTTACTTGTTTGGTGATGTTAATAATGGCGTTTTTGGTTTGGTAGATGCTTGAGTTGGAGGAGCCAATTTCAAATATGAAGATTATTCATGTTGCTGGTACTAAAGGGAAGGTACTTTCATTAGTTTAACTTTGATATATAATTACTTTGAAAGTAAAACCATGTTGAAAGTTCCTGAATGTTGTATGTATGTTATGAATTCGCCAAGACTTTAAAAATATAATTGCTGCTTTTGAAAATTAACATAATGTATGTATGTTATGAATTTATGTTACATACTGTTCGATGGGAATTTCAAACTTATTGCGATAATTGACGCGGTTGGTAGTTTGATGGGAAACCATGTTGAAAGTTCCTGAGTGTAGTGGCTTTGTATTTCCAGTTTCATCTATTTTCACTTTTGCATCGTTATGATGCATATTTTGTTTCTGTAGGGATCTACATGCACCTTCACAGAATCTATATTACGCAACTGTGGTTTTCGCACTGGGCTTTTCACTTCTCCTCATCTAATTGATATACGAGAAAGATTTCGTTTAGATGGGTGAGTGTCTCAGATGTATTCATTGGCTTTATTTCAATTATTACTTATTCATTGACTTTTTTATGATCTCAATCTGTCATTTACGTTGTCTTGAGTCATAGAATTAACCATGAATCCTGATTAACTTGTTAATATTGAAATGGTTTGTAACAAATTAATCTTTCCTGTTGGAAGCTATTCATAGCAATAGCTTGTATATACAAGTATAGAAGCTTAGTTGTGTGCTTAGCTGTATAATTAGCTATAACAACTGTTATTATAGTTGCTGAGCCAGCACATCCAGCTATGCCCTTACAACTGAATAACATAGAGCCACTGAAGAAAGAACAAGCATCAATCTGAGTTACAGCAAACAAACACCTTTGATCCGAGTTGCACAACATGAAGTAAGGAGGTTGAACAATTTCTGAACTCTTACTTTGCCTTAAGGCTGTTATTCATTCCCTAATTTCAATACCATTCTTGAAGTTCTTGATGAAGACTCTGATCCTTTTCATCACTATGACTCATGATAGAATGGGTCCTATTCTGTAACTGACATATTCTTCTGGCTAAAGAAGCTCGGTTAGAGAAGGATCACTAATCTACTGATTCAGATGCATTCTGTAAATGTTGCACAAGTTTCTTCTTTCCCTTTTGTAAGCTTCGTGTCAGTCTTTCGTTTCTTGGAGTTGACTTTGAGCTCCCTCATAATGGTGTTATCTTTCTCTCCTAATCTGATTATTTTGAGATCTTCTCGATTGAGCTCAGTATCTCACATGACTGTATCAATGAGCTTTCCACTCTCACTATCAGCAATTGCAAATTGAAAAACATGGAGATGACTTTTGTTCTAGACCCGGAGTTGTACTGATAAATAGCCGTGGCCTAACAATATGATACATTGGCATAATAAGAAATATCTTGCAGTGCTAATGAAGTGTGTCAATCTCAGTATTGGAAGCACGTTTACTTGACGAGCTGTGAAGAGGTACTTTGTTTTCTAAAAGGATCTAATTCCATGGTTTATCATTGCAAGTCGCAACCTGCTAAATCCTGTGGGCCTCTCTATATGCAAGCCTTGGTTCTGTGATCTACAACCCAAAGATTAGTGTTTGATTTAATTAAACTAATACCATCACTTCGATTTTGGGAGGGAGCGGAGTTAGAATAATAGCCTGTGTATATTATTAGTATATTAGCTTATGTGTATTCTTAGCTGTACATTTAGCTATGACAACGTTTATTGCAGTTGCCGAGTCAGCACATTCAGTTATTTTGTTATAGAACAATGTAATAGAGGCCGTGAAGCTCTCTCACCATATAAATAATACCTCAAATCAATGAATTGTTTTCACTCTTATATCATCGATTTTGTCCTTCTACTGTTTTACCAAATTTCATGAACTTACTAAAGTACATCAAATGCCGCCTTATAGTTCATCTTTTGCAGCATAGCTATTATGCTATGATTCATTAGCATTACCCTTGTTACTTCTGCAGTGTGGAAATCTGTGAAGAGAAATTTTTAGCATATTTCTGGTGGTGTTATGATAGACTAAAGGTATATTTTGTGAATAAATGCGTCATTATATTTTTTTTACTGGTAGAAATTTTGGATAGTTTTAAAACCTGGTTATTGTTTTTTCCTTTTTATTTGAACTTAAACCAAATCACAATCCTAATTTGAACTGGCAGTATCTTTCTCACTACCTATTTTTACAGATCCTTAAACTTGTTTACAAGTAACAGTTAAGAGTGTATAGATGATTATTTAGGGCTAATTTTGTTGAAGTTATGCAGCTATTTCATTTTTCTTCGTTTTTAAGTTATTGTTTGCATGAATTTCAGTCTTTCAGAAGATACAAAGTAATTGATAGAGAAAATACTAAGATGTAGGAGTTAGTGTTAATATTTGTAAGTCTGAGTGTCAAACTAAGCACAATGGTGTTAATTTTCACTGGGCTGGTTCTAGCAAAATATGAACTCATGTAATAATAACACTTTATGTGTTGCATAATATAGCGGTCTTTGAAGTTGTAGTTACAGAATTGTAATAGATACTTGTGGTTTGATGTGATTTTTTATAAGTGGTTTCTTATATTGGCTTGGCGGTGCACAGGAAAAAACTGATGACGGTGTTCCAATGCCTACCTTTTTTCACTTCCTTGCTTTACTCGCCTTCAAGATATTTTCAGAAGAGCAGGTTTGATCCATGTGCTTTAAATTCCTATGCAAACTTGTTTTCACACTGATACTTTTTCTTTTTCTTTTACTTCAAATTATATGCAGGTGGATGTTTGCATAATGGAGGTTGGGTTAGGTGGCAAATACGACGCAACAAATGTGGTATGCATAATTGGCATTTCAGCAGAAATGTGTTGGCCTTTCATAATAGACTATCATATCATAAGATTGCTTAAATGCTGATGTTATTTTCAGGTGCAAGCACCTATTGTGTGTGGTATAACTTCTCTTGGGTATGACCACATGGAAATTCTTGGTTAGTACTCTCCCACTCCCCCCCAACTCTCTTTTGAGTAATTCCCATAGTTGCTAATTTACTGCACATATATTGCTCATAAAAATTGTGAAACAATTTTAAAGTTAAAAATAAAGTAAATTTATATCTGGTGCAGTACGTGTTACCACTATAACAAGAATAATAAATAAAAAGCCTGTGATTGTGATCTTATTTTTCAGTATATAGTTCATGGAGATATGTAACTTGTAAACCTTGAATAGTTACACAGGTGAATGATTGGACTTTTTAGTAACCTGATTAAATGTATAAACTGTGCTAAATTTTATTGTCCTATAATTATGTCCAAGAATATGGATGAAAGTCACTGGTTTTGATAGAACCAAGGTAATGAAAAATTATATTATTGAATGGAAACGATGAGCTCAAGAGCTCTAGAATAATGGAAATGGAAAATGAAGGGATAAACCACAGTTCAAGAACTCCTAACCAGAGTAATATGGTCATACCAGAGAGAAACTCTCCTAACCAATTTCTCTACAATATATCTGAATGGCTCTCATCCTCCCCTCCCACTCTTTCTCTTATAACAGAAATTCCCTAAAATTCAGGGAATGTCCTAACCAACTCTTTTTGGACTAAGGCTCAGACCAAGGGTCCTATCTGATTTCTTCAACCATTTGGGCTTACCTCTGTCTTGTGGATTCTATTAACAGGGAATACACTTGGAGAAATTGCCGGTGAGAAGGCTGGAATCTTCAAGGTAATATTTGAAGTAAAGAAATTTATTTTTAATGAGTTTGGCCCTTCATTGGACCCTGTCATAGCTGGAGCTTTATAGCACCATGCTGTCAGCTAAAAGCCAAGCTGTTAAGAGGGGATAGCCTCCACTTTAAACTGGAGGTCTGTGTCTCACATCCATCACTTAACCAATATAGAAGTCACATGAGTGTTATTTTCTTTCCTCTTTTTTAACTTAATTTTTGAAAGAAGAAAAGAGGAGGAATCTTTAGGTGTTTGGGTAGGGAATTCAGTCTCCAGCAAATGTTTGGTAATGTTGCTTACAATAGAGCCATAATAGGTCAGACCCTTCCCTAGAACCCATCATTGTGAATATATCTATCTTTTACACTTTCATGTCTTTCCTTGTACACCCAGTGTGTTTTCCATTCTTTATTATTTTCCCATAATTTTCTTTCCATTCCTTATTGTTATTTAATATTTTGATTCTATGTTGCGTTTGATTCCTTTTACTTATTTTATATTTTGATTTTATGTAGCATTTGATTCCTTTTAGTTATTTAATATTTTGATTTTATGTAGCATCGGATTCCTGCATTTACGGTGACTCAACCTGATGAAGCAATGCATGTACTTATAGATAAGGCTTCTCAGTTGAACGTAAGTACATTCTTTCATGTGCTTACTTCCATGTCAAAGTAAGATAAGATTGTGCAAGTTGCTTTTTACCAAAAAAAACGTAAACTTAGTATGGACATTAGCTTAGATTAATTTAAGTAAACATATTACACCAAACCAAAATTTGGAAGAAAATTTCAACTATTTTCTTTCATCTATGCATTTGAGTGTTGAACTATCAACTATCTAAATATATGTACGTTATTGAATTATCTTGACCAAAGATCTGTCCTATTATCCTGTTTGTGCATCTATTTGTTCTGCCAAAATGATGATATATCGTGAGAACAACATTACTTGGATTTGTGTTGACTATGAAAGAAGAGAATTTCTTTGGTTAGATTCAACATGCTGGGCCATACATACTTGTGCTAACATTTAATTAAGCTGTGTCTTTGTTCTCTGTACTTTTTAATTTGTCAAGGATGCTTTGAAAGTTAAGAGATTCACTATCAAATTCAGATCCTTCTTGTCTTCCATATTTGGAATAGGTTTAGTGTGTGTTTGATTATGTGATGAAAAAAATTGATTCTGTAAAATTGATTTTGACTAAAAGTGAGTTGAATGAAAAGTGATTTATATTTGAATACATTCATGTAAAGTAGATTGAACATTAAGTTCAAGGCTAAAAATCAACAGTTGAAAAAAACTTTAAATTCTAACTTTAGGTTAGAATCAATGTCGAAGGTAAAATCAATTTTACTCCCTTGTTGTCATCTTCAACCAGATGAGCATATCTATGTAACTGTAGGTACCTCTTCAAGTGACAGCCCCATTAGATGTCAAATTATTAAATGGTTTAAAACTAGGGCTTGAAGGTCAGCACCAATATGTAAATGCTGGTCTTGCTGTTGCATTATGCTCTACATGGATGAATATAAACGGACATCTCGAAGAGACTCATTTGAAAGAGATTGTAAGTTCCATATGTGACAAGTAGTTCCTTTACGGAAGTTCAATTTGTGTTTATGTATTGTTATTGTCATGCTGCTGACTTGATGTATCTGCTTGCTTGAAGCAACACACTTTGCCAGAGCAGTTCGTAAAAGGTTTAGCAACTGCAAGTCTGCAAGGAAGGGCTCAAATTGTTCGTGACGAACACGTCAACAATGAAATATCAAATGAACTTTTCTTCTTTTTAGACGGGGCTCATAGTCCTGAAAGCATGGAAGCGTGTGCAAGCTGGTTTTCTGTTGCAATCAAAGACCATAACCTGACCTTGTTTTCTCAGAAACCCGATCCTTCCAAGTTCTCAAATGAAGTGGTGAAGACCCACGGAGGTGAAGCACACAAATCTGCACAGGTAGATAAATAAGCTGTTACTGATGTTCAACAGAGAAATCAGTGGTCAAAATAAGAATAACTAAACTTTGTTAGTATTAGGGATAATTTCTTTTCTGAATGGGAATCATAACTATAAGCTCTTGAAATTGATTCATATGACTCATGTTCACAATGAAAGAAAATTAAAGATATCGTAAGATAGGATAGATGTTAATGTTTTATGAACCTCGGTCCCTTTTCATCAGTTATTTAATTGAAGTCATTGATTTCTTTTGCAGATTTTGCTGTTCAATTGCATGTCTGTACGAGATCCCCAGATTCTTCTTCCTCATTTGATGAAAACTTGTGCTGATCACGGTGAGTAATCTCTGGACTTTCCTACAACATGGTTAGTTCATAATGACTTAGTCCAATAATGATTTAAAACATCTATTGCCTAATAATTACTTATCAAATAATTGACTTTGCCCTCGATAATTTTGTGATAGTTTGGGTCTATGATAAAAAGTAAGGATGAATGTTTTTTCGACATGCGAATATATTTTTTTCTGAATAAGAAATAAACTACTGGATTGAAACTGTAGGTGTGTACTTCAAGAAGGCGCTATTTGTACCTGGTTTATCATTGTACCACAAAGTTGGATCCCATGCTTTAACACCAACTGATTCTAACATTGACCTGTCATGGCAGTTTACTCTACAAAAAGTATGGGAAAATCTCATGCAAGGGAACAAAGGTATTTTTTTTACCATCACAAGCAAAGTATTAAGAGTTCAAATCTACAAACCTGATTATTTGAAATTTTTTTCTTTTCTTTCTTCATATATTTGTTTTTCTTTCTGAGTCCATGAAAAATACTTAGGTACGGTATATACCTTAACCTATTTGGTGTCATGTGGCTCGCAGGCAAGAATAACGGCGTGGCTTCTGAAGATTTAACTGGTATGGAATTAAGTGTCAGCAATTGCGAACACAGTGCAGTGTTTTCGTCATTGCCGCTGGTTATCAATTGGCTTAGGGACAGAGTGCAACAAAGCCAGTCAACTCGCTTCCAGGTATATTAAATTAAAATATTTACATATTTACAATGAAGAATTGTGAATATTGTTGATAAGACGGGGTAGTGTTAGTTATTGTTACCTTATATTTGAACTGCTGAGTTTTTATTTATTGGAAGGGGCGTTTCTAACGAGCGAAGTTAATCTTGACTGTCCAATTTTTATATGAACAATCAAGATTAGCTTCCTTATGTTCTGCACTTTCTTTCATGTGTACTGTGTATACTATCTAACTGCAAAATTTGTGTTGTTGATGCATCAGGTCCTTGTAACTGGTTCCATACATCTTGTTGGTGACGTGTTGAAATTAATCAAGAAGTGATTTGTTGGACTTAATTGAAAGATTTGTTTATTTTCTGATTTCAAAGTGATGAAGTGCCATTATAATTCTCGACGGGGTCGAATGAGATATTTGTGTCTTTCGCATCTCATTGTGAAGGGTTCGGAAACTGCTAATTGAATGTTATCAACACAAGAACATGTTGGGTTTTGGACATTGAAACATTGGTTTATACAAGCATCAGCTTGGTAGCTGTCTTCGTGGGAGCTTTCAATCTTCGTCATTGTATTTAAAGAAGAAAGGGGCGGTTAATAAGGGGGAGGAATACAAAGTCGCATTTGCATGTAATCGTAAACTTTGCAGTTTTGTTTTCCAACATGTTTCTCTTCCTGTCATATTTATAATGCTGAATCCTTGACTGAATGTCCTCTTTGAATATGAGATATTTTTGGACAAATTTGAATATGCTATATGAAGAACTTCCTTTCTTTTAAAAAAGAAGACAATAAATGGATTCAATCATAGAGAGTTGCCTCCAATGTGAGGGGCTGGTTGTGAAAATTTTCGTAATGAGCATGGAGATTAAACTCTGTTTATGAAAGAAAAAAAATAGTAAATGGTCTGTCATAAAGTTAACTAAAATGTAAAAACTATTTCATGGTGTGAAGTATATGTAATTTTTTGAGAAAGTGCTGAAAGTTTAGGGTATGAGATCTAAAACTATAGTGGAAATGATATCTTTTGATCACCAACCATTTACCGACTTCCATGATAATAAATGACTTCTTTTGATCAAATGATTTGTGATATTATATATTTGTTAAATTTTCTCACACTTCAAATATTTTGATGCTATGGTTTTTTTTTAAATTCCTATTTATCCATTCATGACTTTCTTTAATGTTTTCTATCTTTTTTTTCTTTCTCTATATACTTCTACAACATAATAGTTAAGCATCTTTTATTTTCTTTGTGCCTTTGTACTTGATAGTTTAGAATTTTATATTCTCTTTATGGTTAAGTTTCTTGACAATCGACTCCAAGCAAGTTCGGTCGTTGAATGACATTCAAGAATTGTGTTGAGACAATCATCACATGTAGTACTATAGATCCATTGAAGGACAAGTGCATCAATAAACAACCAAAGTTTAAAATCAGTTTCTTTGAAAGAGAGGCCGAATGTATCATCCATAAAATATACCACTAAAACTACTCAATAAATGGAAAATTACAATTTCTTTATAATTCTAATTTAATTAAAAATTATAAATATTTAAAAATTATTTTAGATTAGATTATTCTAATACATCTAATTTAAAAATCCCTATAATTATAATTTTAAAAAAATTCTAATTTAATCTAAAATAATTTTTAAATATTTAGAATTATTACAATTACTGCATATTTTTGTAATTACAAGTTTCTTTTTCATCCATATTTATGAAAGAAAAAAAATTTAACTTCATTTTACTAGAGTAATATATTTGTTATATTAAACCTATTCATTTTATTCCATTATGTAAAATAAATGAGTCAATTCACTAAAGTTCGTAAATAAAAACACTCAAATTTTTCCAAAAGAAAAAAAGAAGATAAAAACTAATTATAAAGTTTTCAAGTTATTTTATAAGTATATTATTTAAACTGAGCCAAACGACATCAATAAGTCTGGGTGGTGTAGTCGTAAGTGACCCACAAGGCCCATAACATCCTGGGCCCAAAATGATTTTATCGTTTTTTCAGTTTCATCTCAACTCATTAGGAAAGTCAAGGGTTTTTGCAATCTACACTCTCCCTTTCCGATTTCCATTTTGTTACTAATCGAAGCGATTATTTTGCTTCCATGGAAGAAGAATCTCAGAACAGTAGCACCAATACAAGCCATTTACTCGGTTCTGTTCCAGTAAGCATGCATGCACTCTCCGTCTGGCTTTCAATGCTAAAATCACTTTTCTCATTAGCTTTTTATTTAATTTATCAATTAACCGAATAAATCGCGTTTATTAGGTTTTCATATGTAGTTTGATTTAACTTATTATTCCTCTTTTGGTGCTTAGGCTGTTGTTGCTGATGAAAAGAATGCCTCAAATAATCCAGGTAGATGAAATGAAAATTCTTATACTGAGAAATGTGTTATTTTTTCGTTTATTATTAAGATTTTAATTACTTAAAAAAAGTGCTTATGAACTTAACATGCAGTGCCTTATGCAACTATGCAAACATTCCCTCCCAACAGTGGTGGCAGAGATCAGGGATATCAAACTCTTGGGACTCCAACCGGTAATGTTAAGTCAGCTCAGTTGATAGTTGTGCACGACTGTAGAGGCGCTTGATTAGAGAGAATAGTTGCGATTTTACTTTTTTTTTTTTTTACCAATTTGCTATAATAATCATTCATGGATCTCTGGTTTGGTTTATTCTTTCATGCAGAAGCTTTTGGGCAACAACCGGCTAATAATTGGCAGGGATTCTTTAGTGTCTCATCTTACACGCAATATTTCAATGTGGACACGGATGTTGTTGTGAACAGATTGATAAGTTCTTTGAATCCTGTCGCTGATGACTTTTTTGGCAAGATAGATGCTAACCCTGATTTGTGAGTTCCTGTGTTTTATCTTTTGCTGCTATGTTTTCAATAACTAAAATGGCAATACTTATTTTGATTATATGTGGTCTTGGTGAAAAACTTTAGTCCACTATTGCGTTGTCATCAAAACATTTACGGGAGAAAGTGAAACCTGCATGTTGCTTCTTTCACTTCCACCCTTTTTTCTTTTTGCTTTCTTTTTGGTCCATTGTGGACCTCAACAAAATTGTTTGCTTGCCTAATTGGGATTTGAGAAAATGGAAATCATATGGATGATGAATAATGCACGAATGCGTTGTTGCTTTATGCAAACTTTGGGTTCTTGGGGATTATAGATATGATTATTTATGGGAGACATGATGAATTTTTTACCAGACTCTTTCTTATTACATTTCTTTTCCATAAAACGAGTCAGATATATTGAAATGATTGTTTCTACCAAAATGTTGAACATGTATATATATACCTTAAGATTGTCAGTACTTAAAAGAGTGTTATAGTGGAGCTAGGCAATATTTGTCTTCTCTTTCGCTTTTCCATTTGTGGGTTAAATTATTATTATGATTCAGAGTTCGGCTAGAAGATAAGTAAAGAGTAGTCTAAGACTGTTTCAGTCAGGATGTGAACTCGGGTTCTCCCGAACACTACTTTCTTAATCTCTATATTAACCACTTTTTCTCAACAATTTGGTTAAGAGAAATCTGATTTTATTCTATGTGGTTTTATTTTTCTTAATTTTATTTTATTTGATTCTGTCATTATTAGTCCTAGTTTATGATAGAATTACTATTGTATTCTCTTTTCATGTATACACTATAATTGTAGTAATAAAATATGAAAGTATTAATTAATCCATTACTTTTCTACATGATATTATTACAGGTATGGGCTTATATGGATCTCAACAACATTGGTTTTTGTACTTGCGTTACTTGGTAATCTTGCAACATACCTTATGCAAAAACATATAGATAACAATACTTCCTGGAGCTTTGACGTTAACTATGTGCAAACGGCTGCGTGGTCAATATATGGCTATGTGATAGTGATCCCATTGGCATACTACTTTTTCCTTCAGTATATGGGTTCAAATGCTAATCTTATACAGTTTTGGTGCATGTGGGGGTATTCCCTCACCATTTTCATCTTATCCTCTGTAAGATTTTGCTCTCTGTTACATTACCTTTTGCATGGGCACATGTTGGCTTGGTAGTTTTTGATTTATTTATGTATTGCATTTCATGATTTAATCTAATACTTACATCTCATGAAATTTTCAGTTTCTATTGCTTATTCCCATTGGGATTCTGCGGTGGATTATAATAATCCTCACTGGTTTTGCCTCAGCTACCTTTGTTGCTTTGAACCTAAGATCCTTTTTAGGAAGTGATCTTTCGGTGACCGTAATTGCAGCATTTGTCTTGCAAATAGCTTTGGCCGTCTTCATCAAAGTTCAGTTCTTCGAATAATTAATTTGAAGTGTTGCAGTAGAAAAATAAAATAAAACATGAGCCACCATCATCGCTCCCTTGCTCCACTGGCTAGCTGTCTGCAGCCGAATTGGTTTGTTCTTTTTTTTCTTTCCCCATTAGATGGATGCTGGAAGAGTTAACAGAGTAATGTGATAGATTTTGCTCCCCGTATCAGCTTGGTCTAGACACCTTTGGCCAAAAACTGGTGAAAGACCAATATTTGGGAAGGTGAAGAAGTGCAAAGATAGATGCAATGTTTGAGCTCCCTCAGTAATTTTGTAAATATTCGACCTCGGGATATTCAGTATGCCAAGGAAGGAGATGTCTTCTCGTTTGCTTATATTTTTCCTATGAATGTATCAGTCTCTTCGAACAGTTCCTTAGGAGTTTGTAATATTTAGTCAAGAATCTTATTTATTTAATATATACAATTTTTTTTTTAAATATTTATAAGAGAGATGTTGCCAAATATAGTCATTAACTGATTTGCATTTTATCAAATCTTTATTTGTATAATGATTCAACTATCTTTCAATTGGTCTCTCCACCCTCCTCTTATACATGCCAACCCCTATAATGGTATGAAAATATTAAATTATTCAAATCTAAATATTTTTCAAAAATTCAAAAATTTTGTGATCACCGGAATTTTTCAAAAATCTATGTGGAGATATCGGAAATTTCAAGGCGACATCGGAAATTTAGTGAGACAGTAAGAAATTTCTGGTATATTTGTGAAATATTATGTATTTTGTATTGGAACTTTCAAAAATTCTGGTATTTCCGTACTGTAAATTTTAAAATTTCCGGTGTAAACATTTCCTTTTGTACTAGAAATTTCAAAATTTTCAGGACTTCATTGGATATTGAAAATTTTGAAATTTCCGGTAGTTTAATTTTTTTTGAAAAAAAACGGAAATTTTGAAATTTTTGGTAGTTCATCTTTTCCTATTTTTTTCTTATTTTACAGTGAGGACAAGGGGCAAAGACGGTACCATTGCAGGAAGACAAATTGATAGAGCGAAAGCTCAAACTCGGGTTGATGAGGCAGAGGCTTCTGAGCTAGGGCTGACCGACGTCCTCCGATTGGTTCTCACCAAAAACAGATGGTTGAGCAGCAGGCTCAGTTCCGCGCACTCCGTCGTTGGAGATTGAGAATTTCCACTGCTGAGGAGCCAACTGCTACAGAGATACATGCTTTTGTTCCTGTTGTGGAGTCAGATGTTGCAGAGGTACACGTTCTTGTTCTTGTTGTGGAGCCGGAGGTTGAGCAGGTTGTGGAGCAGGAGGTTGTGGCTGAGCGCGTTGATGAGGTGTCCCACACTGATACGAACACCACGACTCGTGCGTCTACGAAGTCATCAGTACATACAAATGAATCGTTTTTTGGAGGACCTTCAGACAGGTCCTTGCTGACAGGAGTTGCTGACCATGTCGTCTATATGATATGGCTTGACGAGGTATATATTTGGTTTTTCTTAATTGTATAATTTTATTTTTGATTTACAAGATGCTTACAAGATTTGATGTATAATATTTTGTTTGTTTTCTTACAGGAGCGTCTGGTGTTAAAGGTCGCTTCTCATGGTTCGAAGTTGAAAAAATTTCCTGAGAGTCTGATGCCTGATGAGGTCAAGTGTATCATTAGAGATTTTTATCTGCTGGAGTTTGCTGAGTGCTCCTTGACCATGTTAGATGTCTCCCTGTTATCTGCTTTTGTTGAGAGGTGACACCTAGAAACATCATATTTTCATCTTCCATTTGGGGAGATGACTGCCACATTAGATGATGTCGACCAGTTGTTTTACATTCCGATTGCTTGTATATTCTTCACATCAGTAGTTATTAACCACGTGACGACGGTACGCATGGTTGTGGATGATTTGGAGGTGTCTGAGGAGAACGTGCTAAATGCGTTTGGTGAATTCCAGGGATTTCACATTCTGATGTCTTGGCCAAGGAAGTTGTATGGGGATCTTGTGGAGGTACATCAGTACCAGGTTGCCACTAGGGCGTACATGCTACATCTGGTGACGTGTACTCTCTTTACAGATAAGTCTGGAGTTTACATTATGTTCGGTACTTGTCTCTGTTCAGCACACTTGAAACTCCATATTGGGCTTGGGGAGCGGCGTCCTTGACCATGTTGTACATGACACTTGATGTCGATTCTCATGTTGAGACCAGGTAGTTTGCTGGTTACCTTAGCCTGTTATAGGTACACTAGATTTTATTTGATGGTTTTTATTAGTTATTTAGGTGTATTTATTTGATGGTTTTTATTTTGCAGTGTTGGATATATGAGCATTTCCCTCACATTTGTGAGCGGAAGATTCATCGTGTATCGACTACCGTTCCATGTGCGAGGAGATAGAAGGGAAAGCAAGCCCATGCAGGAGGTTTGATGGAGTACAAGAGGGGGCTAGATGCACTGATATTAGAGGATATCGTTTGGACATCATATATATCTCATCACCCTCATCTTCCATTTGAGGTGTCTATTTTGTATTTAGAGCATATTAGATGGGAGAACCATGTGGCTAGACACTTGCCTGAGAGATGTCTACGCCAATATGGTTATGTGCAGGACCTCCCTCGTCTAGTTTCATAGACTCCAGCCGCTGGCATTAATAGATGGTTTCAGAGTCACATCCTCATCTCCCCCCGTGAGATCATGCATACAGTCGTCGATGTTTAGCATCCTGGGCAGTGCGAGGATAGATACATGGAGTGGTTTTATAATGTGTCACACTCTCGAGTAATACAATCGGCTGTAACATCTGATGTTTTGGGGCCTTCACGTGCCAGGGTTTCTGTCGAGCTACCATCACCACCTCTACCTCCCGCAGGTGATCAGGACAACCGCCTACAGTTCATCTTCGTTCATTTAGATAGCCTTATGGGTTTGGTAAACCCTTATGGTGAGGTCTATACAGGTTTAGCTAGGTTAGCCGATGTAGCCCGTAGATGGCCTATGTAGATTTGTTTTATTATGGTTGTATTATATGCATATTTTGTGACACACATACATCTTATTTATTACATAATCTTTTTGGCGATTACATGTTTCGATTCGATGATGAACATAACATAACATAACATAATACAACAAATATAACCTTAAAACAACTAACATGAAAACCTAGGCACTACCGGATAACTCTGGACATTTTAGCATCTTTATTATGTCGTCGACGGATCTTCAGATCTCTACATCCAACTCGATCAGACCTTTAGTTATCCTACGACGAAATTATTTCTACACGGCCTTCACATTTGCATCATTCTTCAACTCGATTAGGTTGTATTTCACCCTTTCATTTATATCAATCTAATCCTCTCAAAACTCGACCTTTGTCACCCTTCTGTTATCGGAATCAGGCAGCAAACCATTCAACGTTTCTTTCAAGGTGGTAAGGGATTTAAAGCCATCTGGAATCTTGAATTCAACAACAGGGTTGCATCTATTGTAATAAACTTTTACATTAATCAGATACTCAAGAAGAGGCGTTTTTTGAGATGTCTTACCCTATAACCTGAAACCCCTATTTATACAAATGGTGATGCATTCTAGACCACACAAATGTGTCGGTACAATCAGAACCCTCCAAATATGTTGAAAAAATCTCGACCGTTGAAAAAACTTTATTACATAAACTACTGGAAATTTCAATATAACTCAAATTTTCGGTACTGGCACGTAAAATTGAAATTTCTGATTTACCGGAAATTTCAAATGCACTACCAGAAATTTACTCTTACCGAAGATTTTATAGGGGTGTACCAAAAATTTGGTCTATACCGAAAATTTTATACGGAGATTGTTTGTATTTCACAAGGGCAAAACTGGAATAAATAAAATTGGGGAGTGTCATGTTTAATTTAGAGGTGACATGGTAATTTCTCCTTCCTAAGACTCTACTTGTGAGTTTGAAGGAGGGAGGAGAGGAGAGTAGAGGGGAAAAAGAGTAAGGTGTGATGATCTAAATCGACGCACATGTGTTGGAGTTTAAACTCTCTTACATGTGTGACGATTTTTATCCTTACTAACTCGTTTTTAGTTTAAAAAATATCAAATATTTTTTTGAGTTTAAACTCACAAATGTTTGTTTTAAGTAAAATGTTTGAAACTTCTTGAACCATTAAACTTCTTGAGGATCACTGTGATATTTCTTTATTCTCTTTTTTTGATTTTTTGATTTTCTTTTCTTTAGGTCTTTGCTCTTTTTGCTAATGGTAAAATAATATATTATGAATTGAAAAAAATAAAAATCAGACACAAACTCTTTAGTTAATTCAAGCAGATAAATTTTTACAAAAGGGGAGAGCATTCATTAGACAACTAATATTATTTATTAGTTTAAAGTAAAAAAAGGGAAACAGCTTTAAAATAAAACTAAGACAATTGTGAAACTCCTAAATCACATATTGTCAGAGTGAATGTAGTTGTGCATTGCCTCCATAGTTTCCTAATACTCTTGATTAGTTTAAAGTAAAAAAAATGGAAATAGATTTAAAATTGCGTATTGTCTCTATAGGTTCCTAATACTCTTGATTAGTTTAAATAAAAAAATGGAAATAATTTTAAAATAAAACTAACACAATTGTAAAACTCCTAAATCACATATTGTCAAAGGGAATGTAGTTGCACATTGCCTCCACAATTTTCTTAAAAGTTTGGTTTTGTCTAACCCAGTTTGTTCTCATATGATCTCTCATGTGGGACAATGCTTGATCATGCACTCTAAAATATGCTTCCATCTCATGCGGAGTTGCGAACCTTTCTCTCAAATTAAGGGCAGACATATGATATTTATGCTCATTAAAATATTCTTGAAAGTTCTGTCCGGATGTGGGTGGTTCAACATACAAGTTGGGCAAAATCTCAGTGGCCCAACCTGCGTTACCAAGTGCATGCTCTTCAAGTCTCTGCAGACGATTAAGAGCTTGATGTTGCTAATGAGCTAGTTGTGGTTGCACCTCTGGATGATAAAACT